GTGGCCTTTGAGGAGGCCGCTGATAGCAGCCTGGTCTCCCTCTAGGATATGCATAGATGTCGGGAAGCAGCTCTTTTTCAACACCAGAAGCCCATTCCAACCCAGCTGCAGTGGGTTTTGACAGATTTTCCAAGTCATAAAGGCCCCTGCCCACGAGTCACGTGTCACCACCACGTAATGCATAGGAAGCCTCTGTCCGGTGGGGCTTCTCCCTCCGCGTGGTTAATTTCTCCTGTCCCGTCTTCGGGGACAGGCGTGAGCGCCTGGCGGGTGTGGCGGGGACTTGGGCGCTGACCTGACCCACGTGTCTGCTTAGATCTGCAGCCTCATGCGAGGGGGCATCGCGGAGCGAGGCGGGGTCCGCGTCGGCCACCGCATCATCGAGATCAACGGGCAGAGTGTGGTGGCCACCGCCCACGAGAAGATCGTCCAGGCTCTGTCCAACTCCGTTGGAGAGGTACGGCTAGGCCCGGCCCTGCCCCGTCATCTTCCTGGAGCCAAAGCACAGTCCAGGGCCTCTGGGCCCCCGGCGAACCAGGGGGTGTTCGAGATGCCCAGTGAAGCCGGTGGTCCCGCCTGGAGAAACCTGCTTTCTTGGAGAGCGGCGGGGCCCCGCTGGGAGGGAACTTGTCTCTGCAGGGAGGCCTGTGTGCACCATCTCTCCTGAAGGGCCCTGGCCAGCAGCAGAGCCTGCCGGAGGTGGGGGTGGGGCGCTGACCCCCAGCCAGCGAGGGCCTGTCTCGAGGATGAGGGTGACGGTGAAGGCGGAGGCAGGGCTGTCTCTCCCAGCCACAGCGCGGCCCCTTTGGCACGGGAGCTGGCCGGTGCTCACCCTGCCAGCCCCCTCTGCCCGCTCCCTGCCGGCCAGTCCCTCCCATGCTCTGGCCCCAGCTTCCTCCTCTTCTGGTTCTTCCTGGCATCTGCATGATGCCCCATGAGAATGGGCAGGGTTACGCATGAACGGGTAATTTGGGACAAGATGCAAGATGCTCGAGCCGGAGATCGTGCCACAGTGCATGGGCAGGAGGCCCCCCCCCACCGGCAGGGGTGTGCAGGGGGGAGCCAGAGTAAATGGGGTGAGGGTCCCTGTGGGAGGCGCACGGATGACGGCACTGGGGGCAGCTGTGTAGCTGCCAGTTGTGCAGGGCTTGAGCCTGAGGCGTGGGGAGTCTGGGTGCCGTGAGGGGTAGGCGCAGGTGAGGTCCTCTGGCAGAGTGGGGGCCAGGAGCCGCGTTCCTTCTCTGGCGCTTGGCAGGCCCAGGTGGCGGGCAGTTATTTCCAGAGGGGGCTTAGAGCATATTTTCCTGGGGCACGTGAGCAGCACGCGGTGAAGTGGCGGGGCGGGGGGGGGATCTGGGCCCCCGATGGGCAGCTGCAGATGGCTGGCTCTCAAGGGGCTGGGGGCAGGGAGGCCCCATCAGCAGCTTTTTACAAATGACCTCGAAGAAAGGAAAATCCAGTTTCTGTAAGTAGGTTCTTAGAAGCGCTGCCTCACAGGACAATCCCTGTCACACCTGGGAGGAATTGGGGGAAGGAGGGGAGTCCGCTGGGAGCTGGAAGAACTTTTCAGTCTCCCAGACCTGAGACTGATTCGGGAAGGCCAGGGAGAGGGGGAGGCTTGCAGGCAGGGTGGGGTGAGGCTCTTTAGGGGGGCTCTTGCTTGCTTGCTTGCTTGCTGTGGGGCCTGGGCCTGGGAGATTAAGATGTCTGCCCACCTTCCCGTCTCCCATGGGTCACTGATAGGCAGGACCTGAGTGCCGTGAGCCTTGGGGGCAGGTTCAGACTGAGGAATTACACAGACCTCATCTTTGGAGGGAACAAGCCCTGGGGAGATGGAGGAGCTAAAATCTGAAGTGATCAAACAGACTGGGTGGCAGGGGGCAGGGAGAATGACTGACAGAGCCAAAATGCTTCTGCAGTTTCGTCCTGCTGGGTTTGCTCAATAGAGACCGAGAGAGCAGCTTGCCCGAGGGAGGTGGACCCACGCAGGGAGCTCACCTCTGGCCACCTCGCCCTGGGCACAGGAGGGTCAGGCTGGCAGTGCCCACGCTGGTCAGAGCCCCCAGGGCCTGGTGCAGAGTGACCCTGGGCAGGCCAGCCAGAGCAGAATGCTGGAAGTGGGGCAGAGGCAGAGCCGACCCTGTGCGGGGTTCCTGTGCGGGATTTGGGGGTACATGCCCGCCCGGCTGCCTTCTGAGCCTCACTTTGTGTACCCAGTGCTGCTGGAGCAGAGGCCAGAGCCCCAAAGGCTCATTTGCTCACTGGCTGCCAGAGGATGGGGGGCTTGAGACCCCTGGCTCCCAGCCAGCGATCCCCGCGTCCTGGGGGCCATTTGCTCCTCACCTTAAGGCCTCTGCAGAGGCCTGTGTGCCCCTTTCCCCTGCCCCCAGGCAGTGGCCAAACAATAGTCACTGAGCTTGAGGAAGGGGAACTGGCACCCTCTTTCGGCCCCTAAAGATCCGGGGGTTTTGGGGGGTCCAGGTAATAGTCTGCACCAGAAAGCACTTTCTAATCCACAGTCTGGCTGACCACGACGATGACCATCTTCGGTCTTCTGAAAGCCGGAACTGGACAAAGCCTCGTGGGGGTGGGGGGGTCGGGCATGGCTTCCCAGGGTTTGGGCTTGTGTCCGGGGAGAGGGGAGGGCAGGGAAGGGGGAGGGGAGCCGGCTGAGCCCTTCTCTCTCATTGACAGATCCACATGAAAACTATGCCTGCTGCCATGTTCAGGCTCCTCACGGGCCAGGAGACCCCACTGTACATCTAGGCCGCCCACCTGCACGGCCCAGCCCACCTGGGCTCAGAGGAGCGGGAGGCCGGACCCAGGCTGACCCCTGACCCCGCAGCCCCCTCACCCCCAAGGACACCGGCTTCCCTGAAGGGCTGCCCTCACCACCACCCACTTCTTTTTTTTTTTTTTTTTTGGACCAAAAGGGGTTTGTCTATCAAGAGTCACAGGAACCAGTCTTTGTAGACAGTCGAGTATTTGCCGCGTTTGAACTCTTCCCATTGCGACTACGAGGGTGTTTCTTTGTACTTCTGTGTGGTGTGGAGCGTGTCGTTCCTGCGAAGCCCCGAGAGCGGACGTGCGGGGCGCCCAGGGGCCGGCAGCCTGCGGGGGGAGGGCGCCCCGGCACCCCGGGGCTGCCCCCGCTGCTGACTCCTCGCCAGCCCAGCTCTCCAGCTCTCAGGATGTGACTTGTAATTAAACTTTGGGAACATGTGATTGTATTTCACGAGGGAGGAGACGTACCTGAGTTAAATAAAGGATGATGGCCACAAGATGAAAACTCCCTATTTCTTTAGAGGGTATCACGGTTCTGACTTTTATTTTGACAAAGTTGTTCTTCAGACTTTAGGGTTTTCAGGTGACCCAGGACCTCACCTGCTGCTCCTGTCCTGGAGTCTCTGTGGACTGACCTGGGCGAACCTCCACGGGCCTCCCCACCTGCGGGCCGGCTAGCTCCTTCCCCAGGGACAGGGGGAGCAGCTCAGGCGTCGGCGACCCAAGAAAAGCTCCACGCACGCATCCACACACGCACCCCTCCCCCAGATGAACAGAACCCACACCAGTGAACTGGACCTCGGCCACTCCGGGCGCCGGCGGCGAGCCTGGGCCCTTGGCCAGCCGGGCACCCGCACCGTGAGCAGTATTAGAGTGTGTGTAGGTGAAGTAAAACGTAGTCTAGTTCAGCTCATTAGAGATCCATGTTAACTGACGTCATTTTGTCTGGAAGTCTCTTTTTTTGGCCCAGGCCTTGAAGAATACACTGTGACTTAAGAAGCCTTACCAAGCAGTAACTCAAGCTTTAGGATTACTGTGTTCAAGGAGTGACCTGTGTGTTGCATGCAGCCGACCTTAGGAAGACTCGCTAATATCACTAATAAACCTGAAGTCATGATGAAACGCTGTTGGTGTGGCTGGTTTGTAAAGCGAGGGGAAAGCCCCCCCTCTGCACCGCCTCCAGGGGCGCCCCAGCGCAGCCTGGATGCTGTGTGGTGGCTGCATCCTCCAGGGCTGGAACTCCGGGGGGCGAGGGGGCTCTCCCTAAGGAGGCCAGAGGGGGCGCTCCAGTCACCCAGTGGCTGGAAGGTCAGTGGTGGTGAGGGCCCCAGGGCCGCCTCCTCCCCCACTGCTCTAGCTCAGTAGTGGGGAGGCAGGCTTGGGCTTCTCCTGATTCCAATGTAAATGACCTCCAGGTGTGTGGGGGCCCTTAAGTGTAAACTGACTTCCAGGTGTGTGGGAGCTCCTGAATGTAAATGGCCTTCAGGTGTGTGGGGGGGCTGTTCCCTGCCGCTGTCTGAGCACTGCTTACCTGCAGGGGCCTCTGCAGTTGTCTGGGGTAGTAACGGACCAACAACACTCCTGTCACCGCTGTCCTGGTGTCATTTGGCAGGGGCAGCAGGGGTGAGGGGCCCTTGGGCCAGAAGGCCTGGGAACTTGGCAAGTAGAAGCCTACTCTTCCCCCTCCCGCCCTGCCTCCTGCCCCTGCTGGAACTACTGGCCGGACTCTGCGTGCCAGCCAATAGCCAGGCCTGGCCCACACTCTCGGGTGATAAGAAATGTCACCAGTGATGGCACACGGTGACTCGGTGATGGGAAACCCACGGGGATGACAACTGAGATGAAAAAAAAATGTACAAAGTGATGTAAAAATAAAATGTTATAAAAAGGTCACTAGTGAAAGCCGCAGCTGGGGCCTAGCTCAGGAGAGCAGAGGGGCGGTCCCTGTGAGGCTCCAGGCAGGGCGGACTAGGGCTGGGAGAGGAAACCCCGCCCAGCAAAAGACGCGGGGCCCAACCAGGTGATGCATGGGGGGAAATCCAGGCGAAAGGCATAGGCCGGGTCTGTGTTCCTGCAGAAACTGCGGGCCTGAGCTTCCCCAGAAGTCCTCAGGGACGGCCCAAGAGCCAGCCCGAACCTACCACCCCCAGACCCTGGACACGGGCTCTTGGCGTCCATCTCTGTCCCAATTAGAGCTTAGACACACGGAGGCCAGAAATAGTTTTTATTAAAACACGGATCATTATGAAAACACCTTGAGGTACATTAAATAAATACAACCTTCAAGTTGTACAAACAGGTCTCCTGTGGCTGGAAAACAATTTTCTATAAATTCTGCCTTAACAGCAGTGTCCGTGAATCAATACAGTGGAGGGGGACGCACTGGAATGGGCTTTCTGTTACATGGTTTGTTACAGCGTTTAATTTGAATTATTGTCGCCTGCCGAAGAAGACATTTAAGTCCTTGTGAAGGGTGAGCTCCACTTCTGTGCTGGCCACAGAGTTGGGGTCCAGAACTCACCCAGCTCAGCATCCTGCAGGCCCCAGCCTGGGTTCAGCGGGTGGGTCAGGGTCTGGCCGCTCACCTGGCCAGACCCTGTGGGTATGAGGGCTGGCAGGTCAGGGGGGCCCTCTGCAGGTGGGGGTCCCATGCAGGCCTGTTTGTGTGTTAACAAGAGTGCGGAGGACAGAGCCAGCTGGAGGGAAGAAAGCCCCATTTCAGATACCCCTCAGCAGCACACCCACACACACCTGAGGCTTGAGGTGCTAGATGTTGGGAGCTGGGGGTGCGGTCCCAGTCCACTCCGGATGGTTCTAACGGGCATCTCTCTGCGCAGACCTTCCTGGGCCCCCCACAGTTGACATGGGCTGCCCTGGGCCCTGAGCAGTGAGCAGGCTATGGCCCATTGATGTGAAGCTGGGTACAGCTTCCTCGTCCAACAGTCCGAGCTCTCTGAGAGCAAACATGAAAGCTTTGAAGCAGGTGTGATGCTTGAGGGTGTTGACCTCCGGCTTCGGACCAGAGCACTCACCTGTGCAGAAGGTGAGACACAGCTTGGGGCAGGGGCCCGGGTGGCAGAGAAAACACCAACCCCCACCCCCCAGCTGAGAGCAGAAGGGGAGGCCACAGGGTGCCAGGCTGGGGGACCCAGTGGTCACTCACCTGGCAGCACAATAAGACACTGGTGCCTGGGCTCCAGGGGGTGGGAGGGGGAGGGGCCGATCCTACGAGTACCCAGGTCTGACAATCAGGCTCACCTCGCCCCAAGCCTTAGCCCCGGGACACGCGTTGCGAGCCCAGGCCAGAATTCAGACCCCATGCACAGGTGGATGCACAGAAAGAGCCCTGATTCACTGACCAGGCCCATTAACACTTTGCAAGGAGGCTCACGGGAGGCCACTTGGAAAGGCCACCAGTAACGTCACCGTGCAAGGGGTTTTCACTTTGGGGAACTTCCCAAGCCCCCAGGTGAGGAAAATTGAAGAACGGACTTCCCGCTTTATAGTCTGAATAAAGTGCTCATCAGTGCACCTCTGGTCTGTCTCCAGTGCAAAAGTCCTGCTTGTTATCAAAAGGGTGATTTGAATTTTTCCAGCCGACTCGGCCCTGGGAGACCACGGCAGTATCGTCAGTGAGGCGGGGGTCATCTCCGCAGCTGGCTGTCCTGCAAGCTTCTTGTGCTGCCGTTCCCAGGGCTCCAGGCTTGTGGCTGTCCCCTCTCAGCTTCCACAGACCTGCCCTCCGCACACTGGCTCCAGGCAGTGCAGGGCAGGGGAGAATGCCAGCTGTGTCCCTTCAACGGCTGGGCCTGGAGTAGCGGCGGGCACTGTCCACACGAGGCCGTGGGCTCTTGGTTGAAACCTGTGGCCTGTGAGCTGCCTTGTTCAATGCAGGGGCCCTCACTGGTGGCTACCCTTTTGGACGGTGCAGGTTTCTTTGCAAATCCCCGTCACTGTGGAAAGTTCTAGAAGGCCAGTGTTGCCCTACAGTTATTGAAGGAAGTGCGTCCGAGATGCTGCCAAACAGGAGAAGCAGGGGCGTGAGAGAGTCAACAGGTGCAGAGCAGGTGAAGCCTGCCTGCTTCTGCTTCTCCAGCTGGGGCATTTTCTGGAAGGAAATGCATTCTCCAAGGCAGCCGTGACCGCTGTCCCCTGGCTGGCCAGGGGACGCCGAGGGAACGCTCTCATGAGGTGCCCATTCCTGGGACACAGGATGCCGTTGCCAGACCACCCACCGAGGCCAAGCTGGAGGAGGCAGACCCAGGGGGCCCCCAGGCGGCTGTATATGGCGCTTACCTTATGGACAAATAGCCCCTAGAGGCTGCTCCTGGCTGGAACCAAAGTGCAAGACGGAGAAAGTGGGAAGGCGCCTGCTGCGGGGAGGGCAAGGGAGGCCCGGGAGACAGGTGACGGGGCCCCCTGCTGGCGCCCCATGCCACATCCACCCGCCTCCCAAGGTGGCGGACCCCCTGCCGTCTGTTCCACAGCTGCCCTTGTGCCGAAGGGACCTATTTTCTTTAAATTCCGCATGTGATAAAGAGTTGATGATTGAGTGATAAAGTCACACGAGCGTGCCCTGGCTACGCGGTGGCATCCTCTGTCCACGTAACACTAAACTAGAGCAGGAGGAGGCCGCAGGCATGGGGAGCACCTGTCACTGCACCCTGCAAGGCAGGCGAGGTGCACGTGCCTGACAAAGCCACAGAGTTCACGATGGACACGGAGAGTCGTTTTCTGTATTACTGGGATAGGTAGGAAGTGTCGTCCCCCAGGAAACAAAGGAGCAGATGCCCCTCCCGGCAGGGAGGCCGTCCCCATCCGCCCCCGGCGCCCAGGCCCCTGCGGGGACGTAGGTCTGTCCTTGCAGGCCCGGCGCCTGGGGCAGAGGGACTGGTTGGCTGGCGCCGCCCGTCCGGGCCCACGACGAGGCGGGTGACTCGTTCACGCCTGATCAAGGACCCCGGCGCTAAGGACGGCCTCCCCCACGCGCCGCTCCTCTGAGGCCACGGCCGAGCGGATGGCGCCCACCACGTGCCGCACCTCGGGCGGGAGCGCGCAGTTGGAATGTTCCAAAAACTTAGCCACCAGCACCCTGGTGTCTGCATAGGCCTTGCTGGCCACGAGCGCGCGTGGCCGCTCTTTGGAGACCGTCTGTAAGGCCTCTGGCTCTGACCGCGGGTCGCTTTTCCAGGTCTCTGGCTCCCCGGGGGGTGAAAGCGGGCGCCTATGCCCACAAGCAGCCGTGACGGAGCGAGGCAGGGAGGCTGCAACCAAGGAAAAGACGCGATTTGAAAACCAGGCAGCGAGAGGCACACGCTTGCCGGGACGCGCTCTCTGCTGAGGCTCCTGGGTGCCTAGACTCTGTTCCGAGTGGTCCCTGCTTCCCCGTCAGCTAAGCTGGTGCTGGCCGAGAGCCGCTGCCGCCCTGGAGCTGGGCACGGAGACAGAAGAGGGGCAGGAGCAGGCGAGGGTCCCCCTTCCCACCCCCTCCGCGCTGGAACTCCTGCGCTCACAGAGGGGGCCTGTGCGGGGCTAGGGTTGGGATCAGTTTCTTGGGATCCTTAACCTTTGCCCTTATGAGTCTGATGGCATCTAGAGACCCGACAGACCAGGGCTGCGGCTTGTGGCGGGGCAGAGAGAGACCCTCCATCCACAGCCAGGGAGGTCAGGGTTCAGACGGCCAAGCACAGGGCCAGCAGGACCCAGGCCTGGGGAGAGGGCCGTGGCCACCCTGGGGGACCTGCAGAATGGACACTATTGTGATGGTGCCGCTGGACGAGCCAGTCGAGACAGCTGTGACCAGCTCACCCGGCAGAGCAGAGGCCTGATTTGCCTCAGCTAAGTTCCAGTCACACAGATAGACACATTCTGGGAGACTGGGGCCTGAGGGTGGCGGTGGACTCACCAGACACCTAAGCATGAGTAAGCAACTCGTATGTGGCACCAGTCTGTGCCCAAGAAAGAGACAGGGGCTGGAAAACTCACACTCCCAGCTGGCATGGTGAGAGCTGGATTCAGACCCAGGCAGGCAAGGGCCGCTCGCCCCTCTCCCCCACCAGCCCCGCAAGCTGCAGCAGACGTCAACGTGTCTTAGAAAAGGAGCATCTTACCAGTCCCCAGAGCCCGGGACAGTCCTGCTTCAAGGTCCTGGCTGCAGGAGGGGGTGTTGGAAGAGGAGTCACCTTAACCAGAAAGGCAATTTGGTTAGCGCGGGAAGGGAGGAAGGAATTTTGGATGCCACTACAATGACCCTCCCCAGACGAGAAATATATTGCAGATGCCAGATGAGCAGAGGAGCACTCCTGAACCTGCCCAATCCCAGCTTCAGATAAAACAGGAACAGCCCTGCACTGCACCCACGAGGGGGGGGGAGTCTCCTGGGGGCACGGTCCCAGCCCGGCCTGCAGAGCTGGCGCCCCATGCCAGAGAGGGGCCTGGGCTCTTCCGTGGAGACAGCTGCCTCCGAGGGGCCCCAGGGGCCTGGGGGAACAAGGCTTCGGCGTGCGGAATGGAGGCGGGTCTGCTCTGAGAAGCTGAAACAACGGAGCAGCGTGGCACACGTGGGTGCACGGTGCACGCTGACCGCGGGTGACCGGGTGCGCTCTGACCGCGGGAGCACCGGGCGCGCTCTGACCGCGGG